TGGGAATCTCCTGGGGACCCCAGGGGCCTGTCCTGGGCGTCCTGCGGCCTTCTGGAGCTCTCTGGGGCCTCCCCCTCCTCCTGCCTGCTCCCTCATGCACATCATCCGCCTCCTCCTTCTCCCTTCCATCTCCTCCTCCTCCTCCTTCTCCTCCTCCTTCTCCTTCTCCTTCTCCTTCTCCTTCTCCTCCTCCTCCTCCTCCTCCTCCTCCTCCTCCTCCTCCTCCACCTCCTCTTCATCCCGAACGGCATCTCGGAGCCTAGAGTTGCGAGGATGTCTCAGGCGTAACGGGCTGGACCACCTCGCGCGCGGCATCTCGGACCCCAGAATTGCGACGATGTCTCGGGCGAAACGTGCTGCGAGGAAGTCTCAGGCGAAACGGGCCGGACCACCTCGAGCGCGGCGTCTCAGAGCTCAGAGTTGCGTTGACCTCCTGGGGCCTCCTGGGGCCTCCTGGTGACCTCCTGGGGCTTCCTCCTGGGCCTCCTGTGGCCTCCTGGACCCCACCTTGGGCTTCCTGAAGCCTCTTGGGGCTCCAAGACGTGGATATCTAACATGTGGCCGTCGGGCCCCCCCAAAATGGGGGGGTCACAAAAAGCAGGAAAGATCAACGAATCGACACCGGATGTGTATTAACTTGACACCGGATGTGTATTGACTTGACACGTTCTGATAGGGGGCCTCTCAGAGCTCCGAGTTGCGGGGGCCTCCTGGTGCCTCCTGGGGCCTCCTGGGGACCTCCTGGAGCTTCCTCCTGGGCCTCCTGTGGCCTCGTGAACTCCACCTGGGGTTTCCTGAAGCCTCTTGGGGCTCCCAGGGGGGATATCTAACCTGTGGCCGTTCGGGCCTTTCCAAATGCAGGGGGTGGGCACAAGAGCAGGAAAAAACAACGAATCGACACCGGATGTGTATTAACTTGACACGTTCTGATAGGCGGCCTCCTGGGGCCTCCTGGGAGCCTCTTGGGAATCTCCTGGAGACCCCTGGGGCCTGTCCTGGGCGTCCTGCGGCCTCCTGGTGCCTCCTGGTGCCTCCTGGGGACCTCCTGGAGCTTCCTCCTGGGCCTCCTGTGGCCTCCTGAACTCCACCTGAAGTTTCCTGAAGCCTCTTGGGGCTCCCAGGGGGGATATCTAACCTGTGGCCGCTTGGGCCCTTCAAAATGGAGGGGGGGGCACAAGAGCAGGAAAGATCAACGAATCGACACCGGATGTGTATTAACTTGACACGTTCTGATAGGCGGCCTCCTGGGGCCTCCTGGGAATCTCCTGGGGGCCCCTGGGGCCTGTCCTGGGCGTCCTGCGGCCTCCTGGACCTCTCTGGGGCCTCCTGAGGCTCGCAGGGTCCCATGGAGGATATGTAAGTAACATGTGGTCTTCTGGGCCCCCAGGCTGGACCACCTCTTGCGCAGCATCTGAGAGCTCAGAGTTGCGAGATTGTCGTGTGCGAAACAGGCCGGACCACCTTGCGCACGGCATCTCAGAGCTCAGAATTGCGAGGATGTCTCAGGCGAGACGGGCCGGACCACCTCGCGCAGGGCATCTCAGAGCTTAGAAGTTCGAGGATGTCTCAGGCGAAACGGGCCGGACCACCTCTCGCGCGGCATCTCCGAAGTCAGAGTTTCGAGGATGTCTCAGGCGAAACGGGCCGGACCACCTCGCGCAAGGTATCGCAGAGCTAAGAGTTTTGAGGATGTCTCAGGCGAAACGGCCCGGACCACCTCTCGCACGGCACCTCGGGGCTCAGAGTTTCGAGGATGTCTCAAGCGAAACGGCCCGGACCACCTCTCGCGCGGCGTCCCGGAGCGCAACTTTTCGAGGATGTCTCAGGCGAAACGGCCAATCCCGGCCAACTCAGAAACGAGTTGTGAGGATGTCTCAAGCGAAACGGCCCAAACCATAATTTTTTTGTGAGGATGTCTCTGCTCCGCGTTCCCTCGGCCGGAGTTAGTTTCTATCACAACAGCACCCCGTTCAGCAAGCTGTTTGGGGAAAAATCCTGTTTGGGGAGCCCTGTCTCGGAGCCCAGAGTTGCGAGGATGTCCCAGGTCGCACCTGGTCGACGAGTAAGCTGTCGGGTCGGCACTGTGAGAGGCTCCACCGCCATGCTGTGAACTCAGAAGCAACTTTAAGAGGAAGCGGGGGAGGGCGCGGAAGCGGGGGGGCATGTCGTGATGGTTCCCTCGGGGATGATATCGAGAGGTACGCGGCGCACGTCTCAAAAGAAAAATCGTGACGTCGGATGTCTGGGGAGGGCGGAAGGCAGTGCGCGCATGACGGATGCTGAGGCGGCAGAAACGACGACGGCGGGGACGGGGAGGCGGAGGCAGAGGCGCAGCAGCGGGAGGCGGGAGGCGGGAGGAGGGAGGAGGGAAGAGGAACCAGGCGGGAAGTGGGAAGAGGGAGGCGGGAGAAGGAATGAGAGAGGTTGTGATTGGAGCTCCTGTGCTACGAAACGTCTCAGGCAGAATGGGCCAGACCATCTCGCGCGCAACATCTTCGAGCCTCGCATTGCGAGGATGGCTCAATCGAAACGGGCCGGACCACCTCGCGAGCGACATCTTGGAGCTCAGTATTGGAAGGATGTCTCAAACGAAACGGGCCGGACAATCTTTCGCACACGTTTTGACAAGTCCACATCGCACTCGCTTCCCGTTAGGTCCTCTCCTGCAACTCCCTTCCTTCTCCCTCCTCCTCCTCCTCCTCCTCCTCCTCCTCCTCCTCCTCCTCCTCCCTCCTCCTCCTGCCTGCTCCCTCATGCACATCATCCGCCTCCTCCTTCTCCCTTCCATCTCCTTCTCCTTCTCCTCCTCCTCCTCCTCCTCCTCCTCCTCCTCCTCCTCCTCGACTCCTTTTCATCCCGAACGGCATCTCGGAGCCTAGAGTTGCGAGGATGTCTCAGGCGAAACGGGCCGGACCACCTCGAGCGCGGCGTCTCAGAGCTCAGAGTTGCGGGGGCCTCCTGGGGCCTCCTGGGGACCTCCTGGGGCTTCCTCCTGGGCCTCCTGTGGCCTCCTGAACTCCACCTGGGGTTTCCTGAAGCCTCTTGGGGCTCCCAGGGTGGATATCAAACCTGTGGCCGTTTGGGCCTCTCCAAATGGAGGGGGGGGCACAAGAGCAGGAAGAATCAACGAATCGACACCGGATGTGTATTAACTTGACACGTTCTGATAGGCGGCCTCCTGGGGCCTCCTGGGAGCCTCCTAGGAATCTCCTGGAGACCCCTGGGGCCTGTCCTGGGCGTCCTGCGGCCTCCTGGAGCTCTCTGGGGCCTTCCCCTCCTCCTGCCTGCTCCCTCATGCACATCATCCGCCTCCTCCTTCTCCCTTCCATCTCCTCCTCCTCCTCCGCCTCCTCCTCCTCCTCCTCCTCCACCTCCTCATAGAGAACGGCATCTCGGAGCCTAGAGTTGCGAGGATGTCTCCAGCGTAACGGGCTGGACCACCTCGCGCGCGGCATTTCGGACCCTAGAGTTTCGACGATGTCTCGAGCGAAACGTGGTGCGAGGAAGTCTCAGGCGAAACGGGCCAGACCACCTCGAGCGCGGCGTCTCAGAGCTCCGAGTTGCGGGGGCCTCCTGGTGCCTCCTGGTGCCTCCTGGGGACCTCCTGGAGCTTCCTCCTGGGCATCCTGTGGCCTCGTGAACTCCTTGGGCCTCTCCAAATGGAGGGGGGGGCACAAGAGCAGGAAAAATCAACGAATCGGCACCGGATGTGTATTAACTTGGTTCTGATAGGCGGCCTCCTGGGGCCTCCTGGGAGCCTCCTGGGAATCTCCTGGAGACCCCCCCTGGGGCCTGTCCTGGGCGTCCTGCGGCCTCCTGGTGCCTCCTGGGGCCTCCTGGGGACCTCCTGGAGCTTCCTCCTGGGCCTCCTGTGGCCTCCTGAACTCCACCTGAGGTTTCCTGAAGCCTCTTGGGGCTCCCAGGGGGGATATCTAACCTGTGGCCGCTTGGGCCCCTAAAAATGGAGGGGGGGGCACAAGAACAGGAAAAATCAACGAATCGACACCGGATGTGTATTAACTTGACACATTCTAATAGAGGGCCTCCTGGGGCCTCCTGGGAGCCTCCTGGGAATCTCCTGGGGGCCCCTGGGGCCTGTCCTGGGCGTCCTGCGGCCTCCTGGACCTCTCTGGGGCTTCCTGAGGCTCGCAGGGTCCCATGGAGGATATGTAACATGTGGTCTTCTGGGCCCCCAGGCTGGACCACCTCTTGCGCAGCATCTGAGAGCTCAGAGTTGCGAGAATGTCTTGTGCGAAACAGGCCGGACCACCTTGCGCACGGCATCTCAGAGCTCAGAGTTGCAAGGATGTCTCAGGCGAGACGGGCCGGACCACCTCGCGCAGGGCATCTCAGAGCTCAGAAGTTCGAGGATGTCTCAGGCGAAACGGGCCGGACCACCTCGCGCGCGGCATCTCCGAAGTCAGAGTTTCGAGGATGTCTCAAGCGAAACGGGCCGGACCACCTCGCGCAAGGCATCGCAGAGCTAAGAATTTCGAGGATGTCTCAGGCGAAACGGCCCGGACCACCTCGCGCAAAGCATCGCAGAGCTAAGAGTTTCGAGGATGTCTCAGGCGAAACGGCCCGGACCACCTCTCGCACAGCACCTCGGGGCTCAGAGTTTCGAGGATGTCTCAAGCGAAACGGCCCGGACCACCTCTCGCGCGGCGTCCCAGAGCGCAACTTTTCGAGGATGGCTCAGGCGAAACGGCCAATCCCGGCCAACTCAGATACGAGAGTTGTGAGGATGTCTCAAGCGAAACGGCCAAAACCATAATATTTTTGTGAGGATGTCTCTGCTCCGCGTTCCCTCGGCCGGAGTTAGTTTCTATCACAACAGCACCCCGTTCAGCAAGCTGTTTGGGGAAATATGTCTTATATTTTCTGGTATTTTCTGGGTTTTCGTCTTCCCCCCCACCACTTCCTATATTTTCAAATATTTTCTGGGGAATCGACAATTCATTGTGTCTGTGTGTTTCTTTCCCTCCTGATCTCCTCTTTGCTCATGGTTCCTTGATCCGAAGGCTCCACCTGCCAGATCCGGAACAGGGTGTTGCGCGCGAGGGGCCGGCCAACCTGCACGTCTGGATCGAAGAGCAGGTAGCCGTCCGTGCAGGCGAACACGTCGACGGCGAAGGAGAAGACGGGGTCGTGCTCCTGCTCCGGCTCGATAGAGTCGATCTGAGGGACGATGCTGTCCTCCAGGGCTGAACCTAAGCGGTATTTTTCGCATTCGTTTTGCTTTCGTTTTCCCTCGTTTTGTCTTCAGTCCGCCTTGCCGCAAAACGGAATCGAAACGAAAACGGCCCACGAAATCGCCAGAACACCGTTTAGGTCCAGCCCTGCTGTCCTGCGAGAACCGGTTTGCTGCGCGCTCGCTCCACTTTGGCGGATCCATGTCCGACTTTGCCAGGGTCGATGGTAGAAGAGCAGACAAAGATACAAACATGAGCTTCCCGAGGTCCACGCGGGCTTCTTGGGCTAGCGCTGGACCCCCCTGGCGGTGCTCCTGTCGCGGAACACGCGCCAAGGATTCGAGCGCCGAGTCCCAAAATCCGCGCGGACCTCCGAAAACTTGTGTTCATCCTTTTTGTTGCCATTCTAGATAGCGGTAATGGTACTGACGCCGCGGCCTTCACACCATCAGGATGCATTACCTGGAAGAGGACGTCATTCAGCAACACAATGCAATCGACATCTCCATTCGCTGGGGCGCCCGCCTGTCCGCGTATCTGCAAGTACGGGATGACCGGGCAGCTGTACGTGGGCAGAATCATCCTCTGACCCAAGAAGTACTGGACCGCCGACTCGTGTCCGCCAGCACCAAGCAGGCTGTCGTACATGTTCGCGACCTTCGTCTCTATCTCACCATACTTCTTGCTGACCTTCGCCGTGCGGAAGGTCGGGTTTGGAAGCTCCGAGGGTCGTCCAGGTTCAAGCAGCTCCAACCTGCATGTCGTCTTTGGGTCCTCCGACCACGTCTTGATCTGGAGGTAGCAATCTGGTGACATGAGGGGTTCGCCGACATGGTCTTTCAGGTCACGGAGGCCCAGCAACGACAATTCGACCTGGTACTGCCTGCTCTCTGGAGTCGCTATCTTTGGGATGCCGTCATATTCTTTGTCAGCCGGCAAGACTGTTGCAGGGTCTGCGGGGTTGACGGAAAAACCCGCGGCAACCAGCATCCGTGGGCGGCCCTTCCAAAATTCCGACACGCTCCCATTATCTGCTGGATTGAACTGCTGCTTGTACCTGCCGTCGAGGGAGCGCCACGTTGCTACGTGCGCTTCGTTTGGATTAGTGTATTTATTACTCGTACTGGTTATTTGGTCCATATTCCTCGTCTTGATCCCAAAACAGCACACCACCTCCTCACGCTTTCCAAACGTTGACGCTATTACTTTCCTGACAAAAATTTGAACGGGAGGCACTGGCAAGCCGGCCAAGGTCCAGTCATCCACCTTGAGCTCGTAGCGACACGTAAGCCCTGGGTTCGGAGACTGCTCGATGCCATCGACATCCACAACCGTGTTGCAAGCTTGGAGTCGGAATGAAATCTTGCAGTCATTTATTGCACCCAACGGCAAAAGTCTTCTAGCGGCCAGCAAGTCAATGTGACAAAACATTGGCTTCGGTGCGTTCCCATCCCTCGCTTTGATTGCGACCTTGGGCGTGTGCTTGAGAATTGACGGCGACATCGCCCCACACCAGCCCGACGCCCCAATGAACTCCTGCGCATCTTCCTCGACGAGCACCTTCACTGTGTCGAGTGCAGGCTGCGATGGCGGCACCAAGTTCCCGTTCCCTTCATCGGAATCCGCTGGGATGGCCTGCTGCGAGGCCGAACGAAGGTTCCGCCCGCGCGAGCGCTTCTGCGGCGGTGGTGGCTGTGGTAGCGCTTCTGCCGGTGGAGTCGTGGCAATCACTGGAGCTGGCGTTGGCTTCTCGGCGGAGTCTTTCTCCTCTCCAGTGAACATCACTGCCTTGGCCAGTATGCAGCCAGCGAAAGTGTTGTCGAAGTCCGACGGCTCCAAATCGGCGGCTGAGACGTCGACACGCATAGTCTTCCAAGCGGGGCTCGTCCACCTACTATCGTCAAAGGACTTAGCAAGACGAACGCGGCCCCAAATCTCTGGCGCCTCACTGGTCTCATCTACGCCGTCCTTGCAGACATACAGGTAGCCATGGAACACCCTGGGCGGCAAGCTGATTGGGCCCGTCGTCGACTCTTCAACATACTCGGCCTCACCTCTGTTGCGCATGCCGTTGCCGGCATAAAAACTCAAAGTACCGTGCTCATTAACCATACCTGGGAATACGAAAAGGGATCTGCTCCGCACTCTGCTCACATTGTCTACAATATTGTCACATCCTCCCACACAAAATACGACTTTGACCTTGGTCGACCGAAGCCTTCTCAGGTACAAACCTTGATCCGCCACCGTGCAATCGGCAAGTTGGAGCGCGCTAGAATGCCTTGCGTGTGTCTGGTAAGGTTTCAATGTTTTCCCGGTAAGGGCTCCGGCCCAGGGTTCTCTTTCAGTTTGCGGGCCAAAGGCCCTGTACCAGAAGGGTGTCGAGCAGCGGCGCCGGAGTTGGACACGCAAAAGTACGTGTGCGACGGGGGGGGTCTCCAACATGAGTCTCGGCACGCGTGCGCTCGGTATGTGTTTTCGCGCGTTTCGGGCCACCACGGGGCCGCAAGCGAGGGGCCCAACTGGCAAGTGCCGAACTCTTGCGCCGGACTTGGACGCGAAAAGATACGCGTGCGAGGGGGGGGGGTCTCTGACACGAGTCTCGGCACGCGTGCGTTCGGCATGTGTTTTCGCGCGTTTCGTGGCCCCGCAAGCGAGGGACCCAACTGGCAGGTGCCGAAGTCTCAACATGCAGAAATACATGCACGGAGGGGAGGAGGAGGAAGAGGAAAAGGAGGAGGAGGAGGAAAAGGAGGAGGAGGAGGAGGAGGAGGGGGCCCAACTGGCAGGTGCCGAGTTCTCAACATACAGGAATGCACGCACGGAGGAGAGGGGGCCCAACATGCCCCCAGCGCGCGCTCGCGGGGGGGGCACGTGTTTTCACGCGTCCGCGGGGTCCCCAAGGGTACCCAACTTCGGTGGCGAACTCTTTGCACGTGGAACTGCGTCCGCAAAAGGGGGGCCCAGCATGCGCATGGCGCGTGCGAGCGGGCCACGTTTTTGTTGTTGTTGTTGAACATTATTACTTCTAAAGAATAATTATTGTTGGGGCCCCTGGTGCGCGGCCCCCCCGCCGCGCCTAGGCCGCAGCCACATTTTCATCATTTTCGTGAGGAAGTCTCAAGCAAAACGGGTTGGTCCGGATCCGGTTGTTTTGTTACGGCCCGCTTTCCCTTGCAAAAAACAAGCTAAAGTGGACATTTCTTGTTCTAACATAACCAAACTTCAAGAATCCCTTGCAAAAAATAAGGTGAAGTGACATTCGCGCGCGCAAGACGAAATCCTTCCAAAACCTTAGTTTTCGTAGCGATTTTAACATACAAACATCAAAAAAAACAATTGTTTTTTTATATAAAAAAACATGTCAAAATTTCATCCCGCGCGCTCTTGCGGATTCGTAGGAAACCCAACACTTTTTAAACATTTCTGTCACACGGGCTTTTGCGAGCAACTTTTTCGAACTTCTGCAACAACGGTTGCGCACCTGCCAGGGCCATCATCCCTGTCAAATAATACCATGCGGGACACATTCGTTTTTTCTTCGCGCGCGCACGCCGTCGTCGTCGGCCGCGGGGCCCTGAATAGTAGCCACGGTCGTCCGCATGCCACGAAGTGAAGTGTCCGAACGTCATAGGGCGGGAAGCTGGGTGTGGGTGGTGGCGAAGAGTCGTTTGGAAATTTGGTAGAGCTTGAACCGGCCCCCCCACAAAGTGGGGGTATTGCCCGCCTCCTATGAAAACCCTGGCACTGGTGAGAACGGAGTGTCCCCACGTGCTAGTAATTGTTGTTGTTGTTGTTGTTGTTGTTGTTGTTGTTGTTGTTGTTGTTGTTGAACTCTCATTCTTGAAGAATAATTATTGTTGATCCCCCCCCACCGGTGCACATTGATTTTTTTCGATTGAAGTGCCACCCCCGGGGCTCGCACTTGGTTTTTTCTCAAGGAAAGTCTTCCTGCTCAAACTGTGCCCCTACCCCCCGGGCTACAACAACAACGGCTCCCGCCTGAGACTTCCTCGATTTTTACTCAGGACCCCCGCTCCCGCCTGAGACTTCCGCGCAATTTACTCAGGAAAGGCGCTCCCGTCTGAGACTTCCTCGCAATGTAATCAAGACCCCCGCTCCCGCCTGAGACTTCCGTGCAATTTACGTGGGAACGGCGCTCCCGCCTGAGACTTCTTCGAATTTTACTCAGGACCCCCGCTCCTGCCTGACATTTCCGCGCAATTGACTCAGGAACGGCGCTCCCGCCTGAGACTTCCTCGCAATTTAGTGAGGACCCCCGCTCCCGCCTGAGACTTCCGTGCAATTTGCTCAGGAACGGCGCTCCCGCTTGAGACTTCCTCGCAACTTAGTCAGGGCCCCCGCTTCCGCCCGAGATTTCCTCACAATGTACTCAGGACTGCGCTCTCGCGTGCGACGTCCTCACAAATTATTCTGGAATTGCGTTTCGGCGCTCAGGAACCACGCACGCGCCAAGGACGCCTTCACAACGTGGTATCTTCCCTCTTCCTTCGTCCTTCCCCCTCCCCTTCCTCCCACTCTCCCTCGTTCTTCCCCTCCTCCTCTTGCAGGGCCCGCGCCAATTCCAATGGCGGGCAGAGAGATGTACGCCCCCGAAGGATTGTCCGCCCGTTCCGGTTTGCCCGTACGTCTAAGCCCGCCGGCCCCAGCAAAGAGAAATTCGCCGGCCCAACGGGCCAGGGCGTGCTAAGATCTCCGGTACCTGGTTAACAGTATTTCTAGTTCGCGCGCGCGGGGCGGCCCCTGGGGGTCCCCGGACGAAAAGTACCCCAAGGTCCCGGCAAGTCCCCGGCAAGGTCGGGCCAGAGATGCCGGAGTTCTGTTTCGGAGTCCAAGAGGGCTCCAGATCGGTCCAAGAGGGCCCCGAGAAGCTTTCTAGACGGTCCAAGAGAGGCCCGAGACGGCCAAAGATCGCCCGAAGACGCCCCAGATGGCCCCAAGACAGCCCAAGAGGCCTCCAAGACGCTCCAAGGGCCTTCCAAGAGGCCTCCGAAGAGGGCCCCAAGTTGCCAAAATCGTTGATTTTCATTGTTTTTTTTCTATGTTTTTTTGCGTTCTGGCCTTTTCGCTTCCGGACGCTCCAAGAGGGCCCAAGAGGCCTTCAAGACTGCTCCAAGACGGCCCACGAGGCTCCCAAGACGGCCCCGGAGCGGCCCAAGAGCGCCCCCCAGACGGCCCAAGTGCTGCCCAAGGCGGACCAAGAGGCCCCAAGACGGGCCCAAGAGGGGCTCAAGAAGGGAACCGAGAACTGAAAAATCGAGCCCTCCGCCCCAGAAGGCGCCCAGGACCCCGAAAGAGGCCCCAAGAGACTCTCCAAGACACCCCCAAGACGCCCCAATAAGCTCCCGTGAGGCCCCAAGAGGACCAACAACGTCAGGCCCCAGGCCCCAAGAGGACCAACAAATACCGCCAAGAGCCCGCCGAAAGCCCCCCAAGAGACCGTCACGAGAGCTCAGGAGGCCCCCTGGAGGCCTCCCGAGTTCTCCAAGAGGCCTAAAAAGAGGCGCCAAGAGGCCCCAAACGGCCCCACCGAGGCTCCAAGAGGCCACGAACGCGCAAGCAAACGCCTGCGATGGCACAATACGGGCCGGCGGAATGAGCGAAGCGATTAAATAATCCCCCCGAAAGGGGTGTGATCGAAGACGAAGAGGGCGGGGTTCGAGGGTGTAGGGTATACGTGTTGAATGACTCGCGGGCAAATAAGAGCGTACAGCCTTAAAATGGTTGTTGTTGTTGTTGTTGCTGCTGCTGTTGTTGTTGTTGTTGTTGTTGTTGCTGTTGTTGTTGTTGTTGGTGTTGTTGTTGTTGTTGTTGGTGTTGTTGTTGGTGTTGTTGTTGTTGAACTCTCATGTCTGAAAAGTAATTACTGTTGATCCCCCCCACCGGTGCATACTGCTTTTTTCTCAATCAAAGTGTGCCCCTCGACGCTCGCACCCTGTTTTTTGACAGGGAAAGTCTTCCTGCTCAAACTGGGCCCCTGGCCCCCGGGTTACAACAGCAACGGCTCCCGCCTGAGGCTTCCTTACATTTTAGCCAGGGCCCCCCTCCCGCCCGAGACTTCCTCGCATTTTACTCAGGAATCGCGCTTTCGCTTGGGACTTCCTTACAATTCATTCAGGAATCGCTCTCCCGGCGCTCTGGAGTCGCGCTCTCGCTGGAAACTTGCTTGCAACTTACTGAAAAACGGCCTTGCGATGGAATTTCTTGCAACTTGCCCAAGCGCCGCGCTCCCGACACCCAGGCACCCAGGAGTCGCACCCGTTGTGGCCCCATGCGCATGCCCTTCGTGGCCCCGCTGTCGCCATTTGTGCCCCCTTCACTGTCCTACGTAGCCCAGTTGCTACCCTCAGTGGCCCCATAGTTGCCTTCTGTGGCCCCGCATTATCTGCCCTTCGTGGCCTGCGCTCGTTCGCGCTCTTCGTGGCTCCATTCCCTTCGTGTCCCCGCTGTCGCCCTCCGTGGCCTACTTCGTGCCCTTCGTGGCCCTGCTGTCGTTCTCTCTCGCTCTCGCTTTCGCTCGTCGTCGCCGTCGTAGTCGTCGTCGCCGTCTTCGACGTCGTCGTCGTCGTCGTCGTCGTCGTCGTCGTCGTCGTCGTCGTCGTCGTCGTGGTCGGTCCCCTGTCCGTCCCTCTTGGGGTCGGGTCGACGGTCCGCGGCCGCCCCGCCTATCAGCGCTGCCGCTGGCCAGGCCGACGGTCCGCGGCCGCCCCGCCGCTTGCCGGGGCCCGGCCTGCAGGGAAGAAAGGTATACCCCCCCAAAGGGGTTCGATCGAAGACGAAGAGGGCGGGAATCGAGGGTTTGGGAAATACGCTGCTACTCGTTTTTCTGCGGAGAACGTTTGATGGCAGAGGCCGGCTGGATGCATATGCTAGGAAGGCTGAGGCTTGAAATGCTACTCCCAGCGGGAGTGCTCAGGCGGGTGAGGTCGGGGGGGTAGCTTGAGCAACATTACGGCGACAGACGAAAACCTGTTAGCAAACACCCGCGACGCAGAGACATGCTACTCGTTTTTCTGCGGAGAACGTTTGATGGCAGAGGCCGGCTGGATGCATATGCTAGGAAGGCTGAGGCTTGAAATCCAAAACCTTTC